CCCACAAATTTCTCAACGAAAGCCACTTGCGAAGCCATAGCAGACGAAGTTCAAAGCCGAATGTGCGCCAATAATTCTCAAATGACATCGAATAAAACAAATCGCAAAAAAATGACGGCATATGAAGGGGATTTTCAGTCTACGTATATATGCAAAGAAGTGCAACATTTTGACGTTAAAGTTTTTATTTCGCCCGCAGGGTTTTTGCAGAAAAATACATTGTGCGCCGGTGCGGTGGCATCATTTCGTGTTGTATATGTGTGGAATAACCTTCATCTGACAATTGTCGACGCTCCATCTAGAACCCAGTCCACTAATAGACTTGCAGAAAAATACATTGTGCGTCTAGCCGGTGGCATCATTTTGTGTTGTATATGTGTGGAATAACCTTCATCTGACAATTGTCGACGCTCCATCTAGAACCCAGTCCAAAGCACTAATAGACATTCAGTTATGCCAATCGTCGCGCTGCTTAGCGGTGAGAACTAAAAGAGCAATGATACACACTTTTTTCACTTGTGCCCTTCAGGTGAACGACAGCCGCTGAACGACAAGAATAAAACCGACCCGGGAACCTTGGTCAAATGTCTCAGTTCTGTGTAGCAGTCCATGAATCAGTGAACTGAATTCCCAAGGTCATGTGGCCGCTGGCTCGCCTTGTGGCGCTCCGCAGCTACTGTGTGTGCAGGTTACGATGTATACGTGAGTATTTGTTGGAAGTCTTTCGTGGATGGATAGTAGTTGTGTCAATATCCGTTCCCTCAGTTTGAGCAACTTGGGTCTCTTGACACTTGTAGCCTGGCGGAAGCTTTCCGTTCGTCGGTTTTATAGGATTCGTAGGATGGGGATAGGATCACAGCTGATTCTCTTCAAATCCCCCAGGCTTTAAGAGACTTACGGTTGAATGCAATTACCTCTAGAAGCTTTTAAGTGGTCTGCTTGTGCAGGTAAAGGTGTATTGACTATTCTGCCTTCGGCGAGATAGGGGGTGTCATGACCTACTTTACCTTCCTTAATCTTCTGATATATTTATGGAGAAGATTCGGGTTAGAGACAATGTCAGACGTGGCGCAGTCGCTCCCTCAATGCCTCTTCGTGTCTCCAAGCTATTATCTTCAATTCATGGCTCCCTTCACAGTCTTGCCACTTTAAAGTCCACTGAGACCCCTGTGTTTACACACCAAGCCATTAGCTTCCGCCTCCAATGCGCAGCTACTTACCCGCATTGCTCAACTCGTCAGCGGTTTGGACACGATTTTGACGCCCGCTGCGCGCATGAAAATATCGTCAGCAATTCCACCTTCGAAGGCAGCTTGATGGCAAGCCAGTTAAATGCCAAATATCCGGTGAATCGAGACGTGTTTTTGAGGTGTGACTTCTAGGGCATCTTCACGTTATAACTTGTAAGGACTCGAAGAGGATCCCTGTGAGAACTAAGCACGTGACCGTTTTTGGACCAGAGGAATGGTGGACCCTGGAAAATGTACTTCAAAGGTCACTCGCAAACGAACTTTTTCGGGCTACGAGAGCGTAGGTCTCTGTGTTTGCAGAATCGTGACGATGAGGCTTCCCACGTGGATGAACCAAACAGGCGGTCCCAATGCCCCAGTAGTTTTCTTGCCAGAGGATAGGGTTACTTTTATCAGTCACTCAAAGTAGCGATAACGATGTTGTCCGCATACCCCATTTCGATAGAATTTCCGTCACCAGCTAGTTGAACATCAGGACTTTGAAGATTTTTTAGCGCCCGCCTTATTTTCTCGAGAACCTTAAAATTAAATGGTAATGATGAGGATGGGTGGCCTTAATGGAACTTACATTATGTATGGGAGCTTTCGGAAAGGTCTCCGTATGCTCACACACCCGAGAGTATGAGAATACAAATAAATGACTGTGTTCCGGAGCATTCCCCGGTTCGCAATCGGTTGAAGGAGAACGGACAGGGCAACCGAGTCGAATACGCCTGAAAAATCCAGGAACACTAAAATTGCGGGTCATTCATACGTATGAGGTTCTAGCACCTCATGGGGTGTGAATTCTTCGCGAGCTTAACCCCTACCAGGAGGGAATCCTGCTCACTGCTCTCAAGTCGGCGTTCCATGAGGAACCATTTGGCGACGAAGAGCAATTGGCTCCAAGTGTTTCTACGACCGGGGTCAAGGTGATCCTCTTGTGATTACCGTGCTCGCCACGTGTTCCTTTTTGATTTTGGCAATATCTTTCTAGTTGTCTGGGACGGGCGCAAGGTGGCTTGGTCGTTAGAGTGCGAATTTACTGAGCGGCAGGTCTTTGGTTCTAATCCGACCTCTGTATGTCGACTTCCCCTGTCTAGGCTCGGGCAACCTGGCAGTATCCCAGCCCTCGTGGCATGGCAGCTGGACACCGAAAGGGCGCTGCAGCCGAACGATCTGCTTTTCCCGGATACAGACAAACAGATAAAAAAAGTTGCAACTGAGGACTTCGCTTGCATCTCCGAACAGTTCAGTTGGAAGGTCATCCGGACCAAGAGCGCGGCGGTGCTTGATAGAGTATGTGCTACCATAATTTTCCGAAGCTGCGGGAGGTTCTAGGTTCACTTTTTAATGGTTTTCGATCGCAGGATACAAATTACCTGGTGGCCACGAGGATTATTGTTCAAATGGTTTTGTCCGGAGGTCAAGGCGTCCTTCATTGCTGCATATGATCCTGACTATTTGGAATATTTCTCCATTCAAACAGTATCCTTGCTGTCTAATATCCCGTCGGTTCAACGTAGAGGTTGAGGCTTCAGCTTATGCACCGGAAAGTCTGTGGTTCGAGCCCAAGCTCAACATCTCGACTGTTCCCGTCTAGGCTTGGGTGACTTGGCAGTATCCTAGCCTTCGTGTTCCCCGTTGGCATGGTAACTGGGCACCGAAAGTGTGCTACAGCTGAACGATTTTCTCCCTAATATGCTGTACTTGAGTGAACATGGTGGCGCCGTTCCACAGGCGAAACTCCAGACACTGCAAAGACGTGGAGACTTCATTCCAGCACCAATTCACATCTAACGATGGGGGAGTTGGAGGGAGATCTAGACGATTCCGGTGAACTTGACTAACTTCAGGACTTGCCAGTCTCCCGGTACTTAGGCGGTTTGTCCGAAGTTTCTGACACAAAACGAGCGGTAGTCGGTTATTGATCCGTGCTATCGGTAACTAGTGGCTATGTGGGCAACTTGACTTCGTAACCGGCACGCTGTTGGAGGACCGTGCGGTCAGACAATCTCGGCTATTTCGGGATTTATTACCGCATGAAAGTAGCCTGTGTTTATCATATGGCTGAAACAGTCGTTCGCCACTGTCCATACTTACCAAATCCAGTCCACGCTGACCACCTAATACAGTCTTAGATGCGTTAACCCTGTGAACGTGTGCATCCAAATCTCCGGCAACCATAATCATATTTGAGCTTTTAGCTCACCGTAAACGTGCATTCAAGGCGTCATAAAACTTGTTTTTAAGGGTACCAGGGTTGCAGTTGGTTGGAGCTTAAGCAGACACGACTAGCAGACAACGATCAACTTCCCGCCTATGAGACTCCTCCAAAGACCGCAAGACGATCCGCACAGCGGAAACTATCAACGGCCATCCAGTCAAGCAAAGGTCATCCCCTTTGGCGACTTAGGACGATACCGACCCCTGCACATCCTGCCGCAGCGGCCTCTGCATAACCGGAAACGAATGGGGAGTGATGTGGCGGTTAACTCAACCACTGCACTTGAATCTTAAATCCTTGTCTCTGATACAGCACACATCAATGTCAAGCTAGTCTAATGAGACGAACGCTGGAGGGTCTTCAAAACCCTGGTGTTCAAATAGCCTGTGAAGAAAACCTTGTCGATCTGGAATATGCAGACGACATCGTTCTCATGTTCGAAGAGGCGGAGAAGGCGCAAGTATTCTTGGATGAACTGACCAAAGTCATCCCGTCCTTTGGTATGCACTTTGCACCTACAAAGTGTAAGGTCATGCTTGTGGACGTGCAGTCACTGAACACGCCCCTTACAAT